CCCCCCCGGGCACCCCCCATCCCCACCCCCTGGATCTGGGGCAGGGCCAGCCACTGCTGGGGACAGCTGGCTTGCTATCTCACCCTTTTCCCAGCAAAACGCCCCACTCCTCCCGCCGTTGTGCCAGCCCCACTCCCTGGGGGCAGCCACCAGCTGGGAAACTGAGGGGTTGTGTCCCCACGGGGCCATTCAGAGCCTTCCAGGCCCTGCTCTGCATTCCCGCTGGCCTCCACACCTGATGCAAAAGCAATTAAGATGCCGGCAAACAGTGGTTTTAAATTATTCAGCTATTAAAGCAAAAGATAAGCAGTCGGCAGCCCCAGCCTGTGATTAATCAAGAGGGGCTGGAGGAGCAGAGGGGCCCAGTGTGGCGAGGCAGGTACGGGGCTGGCCAGCCAGCAGGGAGGCTGTCTCGGGGACAGAGGACCTCCTGGTGCTCACAGGGTCTTTTGGGGCACCCCAAACACTGTGGGTGCCCCAAGCGCTGGGCAGGCATGAAGAGCCCCCCAGCACCCTCTGGCAGCCCGTGCTGGGCTGCCCCAGGACCGTGGTGTGGAGGAGCCAGCCATGCCCCTGTGGGCATGGGCAGGCAGCCAGCAGCACCCCGAGGCCATACTTGCCCCTCCTCAAAACACTGTCATCATCCGTTCAAGCCTTCACTATGACCCCAAGGTGCTGGTGGGATGTGGGCAGGTTTCACCCAGGATGAATCCCAGATCCCTCCATCCCCACGCCACCGCTGAAGAAGACTTCTCCCTCCCTCAGGCAGCTGTGCCTTCAAGCAGTGATTTACTCCATCTGTATCTCCCCAGCCATTTCTCAGCACCGTGACTGCATACAGCGCTGTTACCTGAGCACTTAGGACAATTTCTTGTTTGGCTCTGTCACAAGATGTGGGTTTTTCCCGGGAAAAGAGTCCATGAGCAGGCTGCCAGGGTCCTGCCTGCTGGGAGCAGACCCAGGCAGCGCCGTTGGCCCTGGCCAGGGACCGTGCTGGGCACTGACACATCCCCAACAGCCTCAGCAGTGCCTGCACCCCCAGCCCCTTGGGGCCCATCAGCCACACCAGGCTTGTGTCAAATGCAGCCCCTACACCCTCCCTGCACATGAATGCAGCCCCTATACCCTCCCTGTGCACAAACACAGCCCCTACACTCTCCTCGTGCTCCGTGAGGAGCTACTGCTCATTGGACAGGAGGTGTCATGGTCGGGATGGCTCCTGTCCCCCTTGGTCAAGGCCAGAGCTGGCAGACCCCCCGTGACATCTCTGTCCCTGTCCCCATCTTGTCCCTGTCCCCATCAGGATGAGCCCAGCCCCGCCCCACCAGCAAGCGACCGCAGATTTAATTAAAAATGGCACAGTAAATAAAACACATATAGGATGTAATTTGTGTGTGTAGTGAGGGGTGACGGCGGAGGGCGTCTCCACAGTGGTTTAATTAGCGTGCCAGGCAGCGATAGTGCCTCTCTGCCGGGTCCCACCGGGGAGGATGCTCCCAGCCTGCAGCTCTGCAGGGACCGGCCACATTTGCTGGTGTCCCCAGCAGGAGGGGGCACACAGATGCCCCATGCCTATGCCCCAAACCTGCTCTCTGGGGTGCAGTGGCTGAGCACCCTGCCCTGCTCCCTGCCTTTTTGGAACACCCTGGCATGGCCGGGTATCGTCTGATCCCTGTGCCCATGCACCGCTGTGCCCATGGCTGCGGCCCGTTTTCATCCCTGGGACCCTCCACCACCCTGTCCTCTCTCCAGCATCCCCCTTTGAGTGGTCGCAAGTCCCTGGAGCATGTTAATCTCCTATTTGCTCTCGTCCCGTGGCTGAGTGGGGTGATTTATGTGGCTGTGGCAGGGCATCAGCCGCAGTGTGGGCTGGTGTGCAGGGGTGAGGAGCAATGACTATTTCATCCCGCACAGCCCATCCCGCTCACCTGCCCCCCACTCGCATGATGTGCTTCATTAGCCGCCTGGCCTGCGCTAGCTGGGTAATAAAACTAATTGCAAATTTCTAATCCACTGCCACCGCTGCGGTGAAATTGTCACACCTATGTGGCTCTGAGCATAGCTGTGCCGGTAATGAGCCCATGTACCAGGAAAATGCCGCTCAGGGCAGAAACGTGAGCTCAGCCCCCATGACCACCTGGGAGCCCTTGTCAAGTGCCACCAAGACAAGGGGGTGTGGGGACAGTGGTGCCCTCAGTAGTGTGGGGAAATGAGGGGTGCCCCCAACAGCAGGAGCTGGGGCAGGCTGCAGGGTGCGGCCCGTGGGTGCGGGAAGGTGATCTCCAGCCGGGAGCAGTCCCCAGCCTGGTGCTGAGCGGCCACTAGAGGGAAATGGAGACCGATTGTCACCATGTGCCACCGCGGCAGGGTGAGGTTAGGAGAGAGCTCTGGAAGCTCAGGGACTGTGTCACCTCCCGGTGGGGACTGAAAGCTGGTGTGGCACTTCCTGTCCCATCCCTCCATCCATCCATCCATCCGTCCGTACATCCCTCCCTGCTCACTCCCAGGCAGGCCCACTGACCCAGGCCCCTTTCTGGAGCAGCCTGTGCCCTCCGGCAGCTGCAGGGGCACGGCCACGGGGCTGAGACCCCCTGCATGCTCCTGGCAGCAGGGGTTGCCCCAAGGCGGCATTGCACTGTCCTGCAACCACCCTCGCTGCCTTCCTGCAGGATTTCAGCATCTCTTCCTCCCTTTTCGTAACCTCAGCCCCAAGCAGCCTGAAGGCAGTGAGGAAGCATCCCTGCCTCACCCTCTCCCACCGCCCAGCCCCGTCTCGCTCCCTTCTATGAGCAGGGAGTTGTCATCTCCGTAACTGCTCCTGCACAGAGCTGCTCAGTCCCTCCGATCGTCTCCAGCTCCTGCTCTGAACCTCCTTGAGCTTTGCTGAGCTCTTCTCCGGGGAGGATCACAGCCATGGGGGCAAGAGCCAAGCTCTACTCTGTGCCATAATTCCCATTTCTCCTTTGCTCTCCATCCCTTCCAAATAACCCCTACCCCCCGATTTGCCTCTTTGGCCCATGCTAAGATCTTGAGGGTCCCTGAGGAGGGACACGCTGTCACCTCTGTCCTGACACGGTGACTCTGCCTCTGCTCAGTGCCCACCCGGCTGGGCACCAGCCTGCCCCAGCACCGAGACCCAGCCAGGGCACCCCAGGGGGACATTCCCCAGGGCTGCAGCACCCTAAGCCGGAGAGGTGGAGGCTGAGCCTGGCCTGGCCGCGCAGAGCAGAGCGGAGCGGGTGAGGAGGGGCACTCACAGCCTTTGTAGATGTCCGTGGGGATCTGCACGGCAGCGTATGAATAGTTAACCTTGGTCTTGAAGTTGGTATCATCAGTGAACTCCAGCTTCAAGGAGTTGGACTTCTCCCTCTCAATTTCTTCTCCATCGGGATCATCCTGGGGAAGGAGCAGAGCACATGGGGTCACCTGGGGGTGCCAGCCCTGGACACACAGCAGGAACACTGCTGCCCAAAGCCCATCGCCAAACATCACCCCGCAGAGACGGGCCATGCCGGCTCTTGTGTCGGATTTGGCTCACAGCCCATGCCAGCACCGGAGGCACAGGGGAGCGGGTGCCGGGAGCTGGTGTGCATGAAGGTGAGCTCCGGTTACCCTTGTCTCTCCAGCTTTGGTAACATGGCAGGTATTAAATTAGACAAAAAAAAAACCCCAAACAAACCAAAAAAAAGCCTTGAAAATCAATTAGCAGCAAAAGGCAACTATCAAAGAACAAATTAAAACGGAGTGCAGCTTAGTGCTCTGTCAATAAGCAATGCAAACAATATTTAATTATGGTGGAGAGACAGCAAATTCCCCACTGCTGGTGCTGGAGCGCACTCCCTCGCCTCCCCAGCCCTCCTCTCCCTTCCCAGAGCCCTGCTGCCAGTGCAGCACGGAGAGAAAGCCCCTCCGGCATGGGGCAGGCAGGACGGCCGATGGCTGCAGGCAGCGGGATGGGATTGGAGCCGAGGTGTGGGGCCAGGCGGGGAAGCAGGAGAAAGGCGATGGCTTCGCTGCAGAGCTGGGGAAATCGCCTTCACCATCCTGCCGGGAGCAAAGAAACCCAGGAGAAGGTGCTGGCTCCAGGCTGCAAGCCCAGTGGCTGGGGAAGGCTGTTTGCAGCTGGCTGTGAGATGCTCAGGGTCGGGAGGAGGAGGAGGAGGATGATGCAGCACCTGCCCTTTGTGCCCCCAGAGCTACCCCCCCACTGAAGCGTGGCTGAGGGCAGAGCTGCCTGCCCTCTCTGCAGGCAGGGAGAGGGAACACGGGGGCAGGGACACACCAAGCCTGAGCTGGGGTGCAGGACAGCTCTGACCGCTTTCCCATGGCCCCGGCTGCGGGACCGAAAGGGGCAGGGAGGGTGCAGGACAGCAGGAGCGGATCTGGCCACCGAGCTGCCTGGCAAGGGAGCGAATTCCCCTCGAGAAGCAGCTCAGTGCCTCTCTCTCTGTGCCTCCCCCCGAGTGAAGTGCCTATCTCAGAGCCCACGTAAGGACGTCTGATTGAGGTAGCAGAGATCAGCCCCAGAGAAACGACAGCGGACGTGACTGGAAGCGTGAGCAGCTCCAGGCAGGTCTCATGCGGTGCTGTGCTGGGGATGGCCACCCGAAGGGATGACCCATGCCATCCTGTGTCAAAGCACCCCAGCACCGGTGGGGACAAGGGGTAGGGGATGGACCCATCCTGCCGTCTTCGATGGCCCAGCGCAAGCAGCTCTCCCCCTGACCAGGGTCCTTTTGACAAAACCCAGGGACAAAGGATCTGAATTTCTCATGGGAAAAGCCGTATATTTAAATATTTAAAGTCAAATGATGTGTTTGGGAAATAAACTACGAAGCTCATTTAACACCCATCCTGGCCTCCTCCCTGTTTCCCCTTTGCAGATGACGTGGCTCCGGCCAGCCACCAAGGCAGTGACATTCCCCTGACATTGTGAGGGGTGGCCAAACCATTCGCCACAGCTTGGGAGAATAACAGGATTGATATGCGAGTTTTGGGCTTTAATTCCAGCCAATGGATTGCGAGTGTAGACACGCTGCTGAGCTGATCCCATCCTGGTGCTGGGGCTCCGGCTCTCCAGAAAGCTGCTGAACTCACAGCTGCAGTAGCCAAGCTGGTGGCAGGCAGGGACCGTCCCCACCTCCCTTGAGCCTTTTCACCAAGATTAAAATCCAGATTATGCTCTCAAATTCATGTAAATCTGGAGAAAAGCCACAAAACCGGACCCCTTGCAAAGCTGTGATGCCACAGCAGAGCCAGCACCCTGGCTGTGTGCTGGGCCATGGGCTATTCGAAGAGTGAATCCGTCCCCAAACCCGCCATCAATGTGGGGCTCAAGCCCCTGGGGGAAAGTGGTTGCACACAGAATAGTTTGTCCTGCCAACCTCTCTGAGCACCACATGGTGATTCAGAGGTGCCTGCTGAAAACAGGCTTTAAGAAGGGATAGAGCTGTGGCCCTGAGGGCACCTGCAGCACCAAAAGCTCTGCTTTGACACTAAACCCCTTTTTTTTTCTCCTGAGCCAAATGGTCCAGCCCATCCACTGCCCCCCGCCACCACCAGCAGCAGGGAAGATCCAACCCTCCCCATTTCCCCCGTGCCGGTGTGGTTATTTCCCACTTTGCCGGAGCTGGAACTACGGTGTACCATTACCGCTCCTCTGTTTATCATTATTCCATTATATCACCCACTTCTGAGGGGCTAATTTGTATTCTGCCAGGTTGGGCGCTGTCTGGCTGCTCTCATTCATGTAGCTGTAAAGAGGCATATGTATAGATCTCGGAGACAAATATACAGCTATCTATATGGAGGACACTTCATGCATCACTGACACCTATATGGCAAACAGACCCGCGGAAAGAGCTGATGTTATCCAAGCTACATTTATCGTTTATCCATAAATTTCCCGACCTCAACCGAGGTATTGCTGTTTAAGCCAGGCTGAATTTGGCCCCTGAAAGGGGATCATTTCCACCCGGATAAAGGCAGGCAAAGCTGTCACCAGCCCAGGCAGGGATGAGAGCATCTTGGTGCGAGGCTGGGGCTACAAGGAGCCACCTTGGGAGGGCCGGAGGAAGAAATTCTGCACTAAATTTATATTAGAGCAAAGGAGATGATTCAAGTTGTCCTGGATTCACACGGGTTTAACTGCGAACATCTCGGCAGGCCCCCAGCCAGATTTTGCAGCATTTCTCATCATTACATTTCAAAAGAACTTGGAAACATCTATTTATCTGTTCCAATATGTACAATGTAACACAAATAGACGCTACAGTTTGAATATATTATTTGCTACACGCCATTACAAATCGACTCCATGGCAATATATCAGTATTATACGTATTTATTGCTTCAGCAAGAAGTCATCATGTGCTGAGAGCTTTTGCCATTTTCAGTGCTTTAGCAGCTGGGTTGCCAGTCACAACGTTTTCTCTTGAGCCTCCCAAATGACGGACAGGGGGCAAATGCCAGAGATGCTCTAACACCCAGCGAGTACCAGTGGCCCCACCCAACAGTTTACTGGAGGCTGCCACGTTCTCAGCAAGTACCTGCCCTCCATCACATCCAGGCTGGTGCTAGCTGAGGAGAGCCAGCCTGCCCACGGGCACAGGGACTATCGGGGGACCCCACCAGTGACAGGATTTGGAGCTGCGGATCGAGCCAGGGATGTGACCTGGCGCAGCAGCAATGCCTCGGCCAGGCAGCTCCTGCGGATGCAGCCACCCCCGTTCATTGCTCATCTCCATGGGAACGAGCCATCACAGCTAATGATGACTGCTTAAATGGCAGCACCGATGACAAACGCAGGGCTGATCTGGCTGGGGGGTGCAGACGGCCGCTCTAGGATGCCAGCTGGGGTTTTGTGCCTCTGGCCATGCCGCGCAGCCACACTCTTTGCCCACGGTGCTCCTCCTGGTACCTTTGGCACCAGCAGAGCTCCTGCAAGCCGCAGCACCCTAACAGCATCCCTGTGTCCCATGTCCTGCTCCTCACATGCCTGACCAAGAATGTATCACACCGAGATCCCAACACATCCTTTTAAATTTCCCAGGGGCACCCATCCATGTTCAGTCCGGAAAAGCCAGCAAAATATTCATATCAACATGCTGTGACTACTACTAATAATGAATATAAATGGGATGCGTGGCTCAATTCACCTGCAAGCCTCAAAGCCTTTGCAAAGGTGTGGGGGTGTCATTGCTGTCCTCTGCGGGCTAGGGGAAATGAGGCCCAGGGCACGGGTCCATTTGCCCAAGGTCAGATGAGAAGCCGGGGAGAAGAGTGGTGACAGCAAAGCCCCCAGCCATGCCCACACAGCACCCACTGGCAGCATTGCCTCACGGCGGGGCCTGGGCGTTTTTCGTCAGAAGTGTTTTATTGTTGTTGCTAGAAAAATGCCCCCCTTTTTTGGTTTTTATTTTCTCCAAGGAAGGGCCAGCTCAGATCTGAACAGCATGTGTTCCCTGGGCAAGCTGTCCTGGGGGAGCTTGCTCCCACCTTGTGAGACAGGAAGATTTTGAAGCCATCCAAACAAAGCACTTTGCCCCATTTGCAGAGTCTGAGGAAATATCAAACACCCTTTTTTTTTTTCCCAAATTCAGAAGGATTTTTTTCCCCTTAACTGCAAACCCACCACATCCCTGCGCCAGCTCTCCGGGAAGCAGGGCAGGCTGAGCAGAGGGGCTGAGCCCATACCCGGGGCTGCGGTCCTGCCCTCTGCCCCCCCCCAGCAAGCTCCATGGCGCTTGGCTGAGAAACTCCAAGCCCATGCAAAAGGGCCTTTCTCCTTCTTAAATATCTCAGCTTTTCCTGAAATGCAGCAATTTAATACCAGGGAGGGAGCCAGTGCGTTCTCCAGCCACGTTCCTGCTTTTATTGCAGCCCAGGTTATAAATAACAACCAGCCTCTCCCGCCAGCCTGTTCCCCTATCCCCCTTCACTTTTTTTAATCTTTGCCAAAGGTACTGTTTAGAGATCTTTCTAGACCATTTATTTTTAAATTACCAGCCAGAGGAGAGAAGAAGGAAAAAAAAAATAAAAAAGAAAAAAGGTAAAAGAAAGAAACTTCTGGGGCTGATAGCTTATCAGGAGGAAATCCAAATGTCACATTAGTTGAGAAAGTTGGAAGATTAAATTTTCCAACACCCTTCATCTGCTGCTGACATTTAGGGGCTTTTTTTTCCCTCCTCCCTCTCCTTGCCGCATCTCCTGAGCGGGGTGGGCAGTGAGCGGGCAGCCCCTGCCTGCAGCCGGGACCGGGGCTGCGCTCTCCCCTGTGCAGGAGGGTGCAGAGGCTGGTGCGCAGCCTCTCGCCACCCGCCCCCTTGCTCTCACCCCTCCCCAGGGACCTCGAGCGGGCAGGTGGGTGCCGGAGGGCTGACCTTGGGGTGAGCAGTACCTTCACCCGCACACTGCATCCCTACAGAGGAGAAGCAGCGATGTTTGGTTTGGAGGGGGACAAAATGATGAGATCCCACTTCTCCTTGTCGCATCAGCCCTGCGTCCTGCGGAGAGGACAGAGACAAGGAGCAGGGCTTGCACGGAGGTCCAGGGGGGGATGCCAGGTCCTGATGGATGCCAAACTGCCACCGGTACATCTCTCCAACCACGGGAGGAGCAGTGACAGCAAAACCTCTCTTCTGCCACTTTATAGCCTGGGAACCAACAGCTCCTGGCTGATGTGAAGCAGAAAATGAAGTCCGTAATGTGGTCCTCCAGCCAGGACCTGGGCATGGCTCCATCAGCTCCCACCAGAGAACGGCACATCCCAGCGGATTTCAGCTTTAGCTGTGACTTAAGCATCATCCCCTGCCACAAACACAATACTAAAGATGGAAAATCACTTTATTTCTGCATTGTTCTGCCTGTGATACCCAACTGAGAGTGTCTGCTGATTTGAACATTTCTCTCTGGATAAACCCCATAGCCCTTGCTAGCAGGGAAAGGTGACAACACCGCTTCTGCAAACATTTTGAGAGCCTTGAGGGCCCCCAGGAAAATTTTCTGATGTTCCCATTTGTTAAAAAACACTTGGAAATCCAAAATCTGTTTAGGAAGATAGTGGAGCTGAGGTGCAAGCAAAATGAATAGGAAGCTCATTTCTTTCTTGCCGTAGTTAAAGCCAGCGTAAGGCTTGTGAATAAGCCCCAGTTATGTTGAATAGGCATTGTCCATCAGAACTAACTCCATTTCAGCTAGATCCTGCTCAATTTAAATATAAAAATTGAAGCTAAATAAAGAAAAGATGAAAAGAGAGCTATTTAGTTCCATTCAGACCTTTGGGTATCATCCTTTTTTATTTCAGCATCACCTTTTCTCTCCATTATTTTTGCTAGAATTAAATTTGCTGGGATTTCACTGGGAAGCAGCAGTGGCATTGATAGGGAAAGGCCCTCCCTGCTGACCCCACAAGCCTCGGCAAGAGGACCCCCCCAATTTTACTTGATTTTGCTCCAGAGGAGGACTGAAGTCGGTGTGGCTGATGATGGCTTTGCAAGGCTGCTCCTCCCCGATGACATGCCACCTCCCTTGGGGACGGAGCAGGGACCAGGGAGCTGAGCCCTGTGGTCCCCAGGAACACTGTGCCACGCTGTGGTGCACGGTTCCTCCCTGGTGCCCCGTGCGCTGGGAGGGCTCAGCATGCACAGCTCCAAGGTGGAGATGCTTCCTATTTCCCAATCCTGCCTACTGTACCTGGAGATGCTGTCCTCGCTTTCAGAAATGGCCAATCCCAATGCTAACGGCCACGAGTTGCCAGCTTAGATTGCCACTGCTGACATCGGCTGGGCGTGGGCAGCCGGGACTGGTCAGGGTAACACAAGGTATGGGGACGCCCAGCTCCCCTGTCCCCTGCTGCGCAGCAGTGATGGCAAAAGCCCTGCCCAGCCTAGTGGCTGCATCAGTCCTCTGCCTCAGCCCCCCCGGGCAGGGAGCTGCCCTGCTCCCTGGATGTCTCCTCCAGCCTTGGCTGCCAGACAGTTTTTCCTCTGCTTCTATCCAAAGTCCACTTTGATGCATTTTAAGCCCATTAGCTCTGTCCTCTCTGGAGTGGCTACAGAGAACAGGATTCTCCCCTCCCTCCTTTGACAGCTTCCCCCAGGCTGGGGAGGGACAGGAGAAATCCCCTGGTCCAAATGAGCGGGATCCTGAGCAGGGAGACCTGCTCGGGAAAGCAAGACTCTCCCTTTCGGTCCCAGCATCTTCCTGACCTCTCCCTTCCACCTCCCAGACTCTCTGTGGCTCTAACTTCCCCTGCCCTCCTGCTGTCACCACCTGGGGACAATGGCCCTGGTGGTTTGGCAGTGGCTCTGCTTTGAAGGCATCCACCCTCTGCTCCAGCCTGCTTGGGCTCTGCTCTGGGGCATCACCTCCAAAGCAGGATGAGAGCCGGAGCTTGGCGCAGGGTGCATCACCTGAGCTGGTGGGATCCCATGAAGCCTGGATCCTCCCCTCCCCTCTGCACAGGGCCTTCTGAAGGCTCATGGGGTCATATGAGCATTATTTTCTGGTGAGGCTGTGTTGTTTGCAAGTGGTTTGCTGCCAATGCCACATGCTGCCGCTCCTCCCCTCCCGCTGCAGTACCGTCCCCTGATGGCACATCTGCTGCTGGACCGGTCCTGGGGCACTGCGCTGGCTGGGGCTGTCCCCAAGCCCCCACCCTGCTCTGCTCGGGGCTCCCAGCCAGCTCCAAGGACACCACGACACACCCGCTCCCCAGCGGCCCCACGCCGAGAGCATCACCGACCCGGCAAGCCCCTGTTTTGGAAGAATCCCATGGCAGGGCACAATGCAGGAGACAGGGGACTCGTGACCTGCCAGCAAAGGGGGGTCGCAGGGGGAAGAATCCCATGGCAGGGCACAATGCAGGAGACAGGTGACTCGTGACCTGCCAGCAAAGTGGGGTGCCAGGGGACAGCAGCCGTTGCCAGTGGAGCGCCCTGCGCCTGTGGTGTGGCACCTGAGTGCCGTCACCTTCACCGCGCAGAGGAGCCGGCAAACGCCAGCCCCCTTGGGAGTGCCAGGAGAGCAGAGCTGTCAGGTCTGTATTTAAAGCACTGATTGCCAGAGATCACAGGATGGCTGTGCCGGGAGGGGGGCAGAGAATTAGATTCAGTCTCTAATTAAAGGTTTGCTCTTCATTTGAATTTCAGATGCCAGCTTTAATTTTAGAAACTTTTGCAGGCAGTGGAGCGACCTGCCCACCTGCCTGCTCCTGGGCCCGGCGCCGGCAGACAGATGATGCCATGGCTCGGGCTGGGGGGACATGGCTGCTCACCGGGCACTCGCTGCCCACTGCAGCCTTGTTATGCTGGCTGTAACAAATGCTGTGCCATGCCCCCCCGGGACAGTGCTGGGACAGCCCCGACAAGGGGCTCAGCGCTGTGCTGGGGTGGTGACTGTGCCAGCGGCGCAGCAGGGTCAGTACTCACGTATTCAGTGTCAGCCTTAGAGTCGTAGTACTCGATGTCTTCCTCCTGCAGGGAAAAGGGAGAGCTGAGTTAGTGCCGGGCAGGGATGGGGATGGCAGAGGGGTCTCTCCCCATCACTCGTCCCCTCGATGCCTCTGTCACGCTGCTGGCAGCCACCACATCACTGAGGAGCGAGGCCTGCCCACCCCACACTGTCCCTGGGATATGGTTGGGACCCCACGTCTCCCTCGTCCACCCTCCAAGGACCAGCCACCACCTGCTGAGCTTCCCTCTGCTCATGGCTGCTGCCGAGCCGCAGCAGCGTGGGGCCATGCACAGCCTCTGCTGTGGCCAAACAGCCCTGTGACAGTGTCACCAGTGTGACTGAGGCCTCTGTGCTGCCGCTGAGTGCGAGACTGCACCGTGCCCCTGCGCCTGGGATGCTTTGGTCCTGCTGCAAGCATCGGGAGCCACAGCAGAGCTGGGCATGGGCTGTGTGGCAAGCAGTGGCCCCGCAGCTGGCAGAGCTCCCTCCCCGCACAGCAGAAACAGGGAGAAGAGTGTCCTTGCTTCCATGGAGAAACGCATGTCATTAATTTGGGGTATTTAGAGCCTATTTAGGCAGAAAGGTCTGCTCAAATTCCTCTTCCCTGCGTGTCAGGACGCCAGGCAGCTGATAAAATTCCTAAAGAGGCAATTCGGAGAGCAGCAATGCTGTCACAACAGCGTTTCGTGTGCCATCAGAAGGGGTAATTAAAGGGCACTCGGAGACTCTGCTCTGCGTGCCGGGACGTGAGCGCGATGCAGGCGCACCGGCAGCCGTCGCGGCGCTAACATGTCTGCCACTCAATCAGCCGTCAGCAGCTGCCACGCAACCCAGCCCTCCTCCCCGCACGCACAGGCAGTGCTTTGGGATGATTATTGCTGTTAGTATTTAACTACAAAAGCCCTCTGGGCGCGGAACAGAAACCCAGCCCAAACCCTTAACGGCGCCGACTGCATCCCTGTCCTCCCCGCTCCTGCCCTGCTGCTGCCTCT